TATATATATATATATATATATATATATATATATATATATACCAAATGTAATTGCTGAATGTTCCATCTGCTTATTTCATGATATATTTAGGCCCTTTATTTTCCTCACATGATTAGGAAAACTATAGGATTCATTTTGTGCCAAAAAGATTGAGAAAAACCTTTAAATGATCAACCAAAAACCAAGAATTTTAAAACAAAAATACAATCTAAAAAGTCTTTTCACAAGCAAAATTACAACCTATGGTCAAAATCTTAAATCAATACGATAAAGTCCTTTTCTTCTCTTGGTGGGACAGTGTAGCGAGGGAGCGGAAAGGAGAGCGTAGCGTAACTGCAAAGCTGGCAGCGAGAGCAAAACTATCACGGAGAATGAAACATAGGAAACTCATAATAAAAAAACATACTCTGTCTCACAAAGACAAGAAAATTACTTTACTGTATTGATTTAAGATTTTAATGGCTTTTTGAAATGTATTTTCCCACATATTCTTAGTTTTGTGTTTGATCATCAACAAGTTTTTCTCAATCTTTTTGGCACAAAACTAACTCCACAGTAAACCATCTTGTGACCTCAACTTAGCGTCTCCTGATCCCAATCAACCCCCCACCGACTAAACTGAGACTCCCATGTATTGCTGCTAAGATGCACCTCTTGCAGGTGTGAGGAAAGAAAGGTGTGAGGATTTACAGATTTCAATCAAAATGTCAAATATATGTCAGACTATTCCAGTTACAGCCCCAAAATGTCTTTAGAACAGGGCATGGAGATGAAGGAAGAAGGAAGATTTAAATTACTTTGATGTTTCGGGAATGGACTGGCTTATCAGTAAATGTTACAGTTTCCTTGTTCATTGCTACCTAACAAAAGGTGTCCAATCTACTTCCCCATAAGGTGGAAATTATGACACATTAGAATATACAAAGTGTACAGAAAACCCACTCGCTTTGATCATATCACACGGCTGAAAGTTAAAATACTCTCTTTCCTCCTCCACAGCACAGTTGAAACTAATTGGATAGGAGCCGAATATAAAGGAATTTTTTATATTGATACAATTTAGCTTTTTTAAATTGTTCATGGTTAAGTGGGGATGCAGCGAAGAAATATAGTACAAAAAAATTTGAATGTGGTAATATTAACATAGCACCACTGGCCAGTTTTATACAGTTTACATGCGCACAAAAAAAAATAGATATTTTTTGTGGTGAGTTACACTTTAAGAAGGCAGCTGCATTCTAATGACCAAAATACAGAAACTAGGTTTCCACATTATTTTGAATGTTAAAAGCTTAAAATGGTCCCATTGTAGTGATCCTTAAATGTATGTTAAAGACATGCGGATCAAATTTGACACAGCCACCTGTGTTTGTTTTGTAGCTGGAGAGCTGCTGAGCGCCCCCTGTGGAGAACTTATGTTCTACATCTGCACCTCTTCACCAAGGTAGGCCGAATGACGATGTCTGGAGGAGGAATTAAAAGTGCTTCAATTGAGGGGCTTGAGTTTTAATGTCACTGAAAATCCAAGAACTGACACTGGTTCATTTTATATTATCGAAAAAAAGATCCTCAAATGGTCTAAAGCGGAGACACAGGCCTTTAACTTTCTATGTAAAGTTAAAGCTTAGTTTAAGGCCCCTCTAATCCCTTCAATAGTTGGATCTGACACACAATAATAACACTTAAACATCATTATATACAACCAAACACAGGAGCTCAGGGTGAACAGAGTTCATGGCAGCAACAGTTTTCTCTCTTTACTTTCAGGTTTAACTCGCCTGACCTGAAAAACCCCAGGATGCTCCAACCGGGTGAGTTTGTTAAGAGAAATGTAATATTTGGTTTTTAAAAAAACTGATTCCAGATGGGTTGGCTTGTTGGAGTTGATGCAAACAGTACAGTTGAAAAGTCTTGATCCATCAGTGATTTCTATTTCTTTTTCACAAAGAGCCCAATAGATAACGAGACATGTCAATCAATCCAGCCGTTGGGGCCTGAACTCAGAAACTCAGATCCCAATTACAACGCCACAACCACGAGTCCAAAGCAGGCATTAGCATGAAGCGTCTTGCCTCAGAAGCCAAACTGGCGGCTCATTGCCCCCAGCTGGGATACGAACCCAGGCATCCTGTTTGCAGGCGAGTGCCTTACTTTAGCTAGCCAAGTACGTGGAGATCGTTGTGACCCAGAAGTCGTCCTTATCGGCTGAATAACAGTCGGTCTTTGTGTTCTCACCCAGCAGCAAACTGAAGTAGGGGTTGCTCCCGTTTTCAGGGATGGATGCTGGGTTTCTGATTGGTGGGAACACAAAGACCTGGTCCTTAGTGAGCAGCAATCTCCATTTTAGTATTAGAACTTGTTAAATGGAAAAGGGCCAAGAAAAACTCTTAGGATATGTGTTTTTCATTCATGATCATAATGCATTTCAGAGGGATTTGGCTGCATTGGAAATTTATTTTAACCAGACCTGTCTTTCCTGTTATTTAGACAATATAATTAGTTTTCTAAAAATTGATAATTATCTCACGTTATTTTGAAAATCTGACATTAAAACATTAAAGTCATACAGAAGTCATATTTAAATGTCAAATCATTCTGGCTTAAACATGTATATAAATGTACTCTTTTTCAGACAATATTGTCCCAAAAGTTAGAAAATGTCTATTTAAAAAAAAAAATCTGTCTTAAAATCTGTTTTTCTTTCATTATCTTATGAAGGCCAGTTAGTTATACCTCAGCTTGAACACCTAAATTCGGCCAATCATATATCAACGTTCATCTGTCAATCAAATTTTTTTAGTCATAGCATCTATATTCATATTTTGCAGCTAATATACTCAACAGTTGAAATAAGAAATCAGAATAATTTCCTTTCCCATTGAGTTC